TATAATCCAAGGGCTCTGTATCATTTATTTCAAAACCAAAGTGAGATTGTGTTGTTTTGAAACTATGAGTACAGGATTTTAGAAAAGCCTTGCACACCATATATTTTATTGCTCTGTTATTCCTGCAGGACCATTCACTAAGATACTCTCAGCCACTTTGAATTAAGTATGGAGTAGTTCTTAATTCAGAAAAATTACAGGAATGATGAATGAAAACAAAAGCCTTTTCAGACAATGTAGAAGGAGCTTGGCTATAAACTGGAATTTTATCATCCTTTTTTTGCAAAGCCAGAATAAACTTGTTCCTTGGCTGAGGACAGTCAAAATACACTGCATTATAGGAGCTCATCGTGCCAACAGAGTCATTAAATATAAGATTCAGTGAGCCCTGAGTGTTTCAAGATTCAGTTATACAGGTTTATCTTATAGAACTGGGTAGGACAGAAGCAGTTCTGGTAAAATATTGCTTATCAAATAAAAAAGCCCACAGTTAACAGCTCTGCCATGACAAATATTTCTGTATCTGGTCATGGCCTCTGCTCCCTGTAATAAGCCCTCAGTGCCCGAAGCAGAGAGGCTGTGACAGGCAGTGCTCCTGCTGAAGAGCTCAGAGCCAGGTTAACATTTCTCCCTGTCCCCACAGCCGCTCCTGAGGCCACCAGGACACAGCGACTCTGACACCACTCAGCCTTGCCCACATTCAGATAACTTGGTGTCCTCGGCACTCACTGACCTCCCCTCGCTTGCACTGAACATTTTCTCACACTAATCTCGCTGGGCAAAAAGGAAATCTCCCCAGCACAGTTTTTGTACCCTCAGAAAGGACAAAAAAAGCTCTCATAGTAGACAAAACTTTCACCACATTCTTGGGAACAATGAGTTAACTTTGAGCACCATTCTGAACATGGCATCAATTTCCTACCTCAAACCTATCACAGTCAGCAGTGACTCTTACTCTATTTCTGTTTTATTTTATAACAGGCAACCTACCTCTACCATGAAACAGAACATGATTCTAGAAATTATCACCTGAGGATTCAGGGTATATTTAAGACCTACATCTGAACCCTGAAGCCTGAGGCATTGGAAGCATACGGAGCCCAAGCAATCCAGCCATCCTTATTATTTGCCACATCTCTGCAATCATTACCCACATTTTTATGTCAAGAAAGAACTGAAAATTATTTCTCTATAGTCCAAAAGAATAACAATTTTTTTTAAGAATTCAACAATTTTCAAAAATAAAAATATGCATACCTTTTCAAAGTGTTGTTCATGTCTTTCTTCCCAAGTTAAGACTTGGCTGTTCAGTCACAGAATAAGCCATGATCTATTGCTAAATTGGTATTTTATTTAAATACCTGAAGTTTATTTTACATCCAACCTCTCTTATCCAAGTCAGTTTTCATTTTGGCTCTGTACACATGGGAAAGCTGAAGGCTCAGGTTAGCAGTTCAGAATGAATGTAGTAGTCTTTCATTTTAAAAAAGCAGTTGTCCAGTTAGAAAAGTCTAAACTTGAATCACAAATGTGGTTTGCTTCATGCCTACAAGCTCAGAGAATCTAAAAATTTAGGACTAACAGAATTCCAAGATTCCTGAACATTTTCATGAACAAGAGAAAGCATGATAAAATAAAACAAGTGTTAGACATTATGTTCTTTCCATTTTCCTACTTCCTTCAAAAAGACAAGAGCAAAAGTAGTAGCAAATTCTGTTACAGCTATAAGGCTGTCCACGCTCCTGGGGTAGCATATCATAAACTTTGTTTCTAACACGCAAGAGTGAGCAAAAGCGTTAAAAGCACAGCACAATGATCGCTGCAAGAGAAAGCAGAAAGCAAACGCCGCACACACCTTTGTCCCTCCCGGCCGGGCAGTGCGGACGGGCTGTCCCGGCTTCTGTGCGCGGAGCGTCCAACCTTCATACCCGGGCCAAACCCGGGAGCAGCGAGGGAGGGACCTGCGGCGTCTGGAGCGAAATCCCGCCCCGCTTTCACATGGTGAGGGCTCGGAGCTCTCTGATCACAAAGCAGCTTTACAGCCCCTGTTCAAACAGTTCAGCTCCAGGGTAACAAGTTCAAAGTGGGAGGAGGCAAAAGGAATCGGAGGGTGGCAACAATGCGGAGCAGACGTTTCGTTCCTTTTGCATCCGCAGAACCTGTTCTTCAGGTTGGAAACTGAAACATCTGCCCGCTGCCCTGTTTGAAAGCTGCGCTCCGAACCTCTTGTCTCCTAACAGGTCTGCAGAGGCAAAATCGGATTTTATGATGCACAGACAAGTAGCCTGTGGGAGGAAAAGTTAATCATTGCTGAGCACCGAGGTTTTTTTACATTTTGGACTTCCTTGTGGTAACATCAGCGAAGCAGCTCGTTCCCCTGTCAGGTCTGTTAGAAGGAAAAGCAGAGAAGCATGGCACGGAAATCAACAAACTTGGCTCCCAAAAACTTAATCAAAACCACAGCAATGACTTTTTAAGAGATAATGGCAGTTTTCTGAAGTCACTAGTATCGATCAGATTACAAAGGAGAAGAATCAGATTTTCCTGGCAGATCATAGTGTAGCAACTAACATTTTATGCATGTGTGTGTTTATATCTAGGTATGAATATATAAGTGAAAGTATATCACAAAATGGGAAGGTTACTTGGCATGCTTCACTTCCTCAGCTCAAAACACACTGACAGGACCCCCCAAAAAAACCAACCAACCAAAAAAAAAAAAATAAACTCTCAACCTCTTCTTTGGTTTCTTGACCAATAAAATAAGAAAATCACATTTACCCACTTCAGCAAAAGGGCAACAAATATGTCTGGTATTTTTCTTAACAACTGAGCTGTTGGATGTGTGAGATAGACACAGCTCTCCTTTAAACAAAAATAAAAACATGAGAGATTGGATTTTAATTCTGAACAAAACAATCCAAGGATTGGTCAATTAATTTTGTATATTTTTAAAAATTCTATAATTTAAGCTGGCAGCCTTCGAGTTTTTTATTTAATAGCAGATCTCCAAGATTTAAATGTGAAAATGTCCCGTTCCGGACCAAAGTTCCCATGGGACATTTCCTTATGCAGGTGCGTCCCCTGCTGTTGAACGCCGGAAAATGTTCTAATTTTTTTCCCCTAATTCCATTAATTTTACAGCTACAGAGGGAACAATACGCGATTCCATTGATGCAACACACCCTAACAAATAAAAATTGAGCAGCGCCTGGAGCAGGGAGGGAGGGATTAAGAATGTTTTGCTTATCTGTAAGATTCATCAGAGCTTTACTTATCAGGTACAACTTCTGGCACAGTTTAACTAGGATTTTGACGCCACGATCTGTGCACTAATAGGCTGCTGAAAGGATTACAAATATCCAGTTTATTTGTGGTTATGTTTGGCCACAGGGAGACTTTCTTTGCTTTTCACTGAAAGAAAGAAAAAACCCACCAAGTTCCTGTTCTCCCAAAACTTTCTAGTGAGTCCCTGCCATATTAATTTGTAAATTCTTCAGGAAAACACCTACTTTAATTCCAGTTATAGTAGTTTTGTCAAATAAATTAATTAAATGTGGAACTGTTTAACTGTCCCTTTGCTTTAGCGTGCTGCAAAACTGAATTTATAACAATGTGACGTTAAAATCTGCTAGGGGAAAAGATGTATTTTGGCAAAAATGACTGTATCAGACCTCAGAGTGTAAATATGGATATATGCATACACACACGTACAGGATGTAAACATTAGCAGAATGCTGCTACCTTCGTTAACTTATTATTTTTTTAAATTGTTTATTTTTTTAATTTTACAGGAATATTAGCATTATTTGTAAACATTAGGCACAGCTGCAGGAGCCTTATGGCAGCTTGCAGGACTGTGGCTGTCTCTCTCCATCACAAGGCCAGTGAGCTTTATGACAAGAGCCACCAGGCAGGAGTCCAGCCAACTCCTTAAATAAATGAGGAATTTATCAGGAATTCTGCTAACACTTCAAATCCCTCTTGTTCTCAGCCACAAAGGAACCCCCGGCAGGCACTGAGGGATTGATCTGGGACTCTGGCACTGAAAAACTCACCAGCTCTGCCCCACCCTGGCAGCCTACAGCCTTTATCCGCCTGGTACCAGGATTTTGGAGACGGATGCAGTGCCATGCTGGTGTGTTTGTAGCTTTGCTGTGTGGATGTGGTGTTTGTTGCTTGCCTCGTGTAGAGCTCGGCAGAAAACAAAGGGCAGCTTGTTCAGTTTCCCCATACAAACAGCTCATCTTTGAAGGGATGCACGGAGGCTTCCGCAGCTGTTAAAAAAGCAATAGCAGGACACTGAACACACCTTTCCTTCTGAATTATCCTCAGATTTTTTTAAAGGCAATTTTTGAAAAGCAGGAATAGATGACGCCATGAAAAGTATCCCTGCTTTAAGCCTAAAACTGCAGGTACTGAATGTCACTATGATGTTTATTTTAATTTTTAAAAAAAAAAACAAACAAAAACAAACAAACAAACAAAAAAAACAACCAAGCTGTGGAAGGGCTGGAAAATTTATACAATATTGCGGAGTGCGCCTGCCTAGGGAGCGGTGATTCTGTGGGCTCCTTGCGAGTTGTGTTGTGAAACATCCTAGACCTCGTTTTTACCGTTCTTAGCACCTCGGTTGGTCTCTTTCCCGTTCCTTTTCCCTCCCCTTACCCCGCCCCTCACAGCCTCTTCCTCCCCTTTCCACGCCCTTTCCGCCCCTCGCTGTCCCTTTCCTCGCCCCTTTTCCCACCCCTCACACCCCTTTCCTCCCCTTGCGCTCTTCCCGCCCCTTTCCCTCCCCCTAACATTCCCTTCCCTCCCATTCCCGCCCCTCAGGGCATTTTTTCCAGTCCTTTTCCCATTCTAGCCGCCCCTTTTCCCGCCCCTTTTCCCGCCCTTTTCGCCCCCTCAGGGTGGGGGCGGCGTTTCCCGCCCTCGCTGCCGGATATCCCTGCGCGGGCGGCGGGCGCTGCGCCGGGGCCGCGGTGCCAGGGCCGCGGTGCCAGGGCCGCGGTGCCGGGGCCGCGGCGCCGTGTCCCTCCGCCCGCCATGGCGGCGGCGGCGGGCCCGGCGCGGCTGGTGCGCTGCGGGCAGAAGGACGAGCTCTACCGGGCCGGGCTGCGCAGCGGGGCCGGCACGGCGCTGCGGGGGCTGGCGGGTAATGCCTGCGGGGGGTTGGATCCACCCCGAGCCCTGCCGGTGCTGCGGGATCGCGGCTCTGGAGGGGGCTCGGAGGGGGCTGATGGCGAGTCCGGGAGGAATTCCCGGGAGGAATTCCCGGGGGGGCTCGGCTCAGCGCGGACTTGGCGCAGTGACAGCCGCGCCCCCGTCCCGCAGGTGCCCGGCCCTGGCTGGCGTGGAGGAGGGAGGTGGAGCTGCTCTCCGATGTGGCCTATTTCGTGCTCACCACGCTGTCAGGTAACCTTCCCTGTCATTTAGCGCTTTTTGTCATTTCTGCCAACATCTGAAAGCTGAGGGGCCAGGGCCGCGGGTGCTGTGCTGGTGATCACCACCTGAGACTGCCCAACAGCAGTTCTTTTCAGCCTGGAGGTTGGTTTGCCCTGGATAAATGCCTTCTGGTAAATATGAAACTACTAAATTGTCGGGGCTGGGTCCAAATGCACTTTTATCAACACAGATGGATGTTCTAAAAACAATTTTTTAAAAGCAGGAATAGATGGCAGCATGAAAACTATCCCTACTTTAAGCCTAAAACTGCAGATACTGGATGTCACCATGACGCGTATTTTAATTCAACAACAAAAAAAATAGCTACTTCCAAATTGCAAAGCCTGAACAGCCTGGTCACCACATCCAGAATGATCCTGCAGTTGCCCTCTCACCCTGTTTTCTGTTGCATACATTGTTTAGGTTATCAGACTCTGGGAGAAGAGTATGTGAACATCATTCAGGTTGACCCAAGTAAGAAAAAGGTGCCTTCTTTCCTTCGTCGGGCCCTCTTCATTTCCCTGCACACCGTGGTGCCCTACTGCCTGGAAAAGGCACTGCTGCACCTGGAACATGAGCTGCAGATGGAGGCTGAGGAATCCAGGACCCCCCCAGCACTTGGCTTTCCCAGCAGGAGCTCCATTCGCAGCTGGATTCGGAAGCAGGTTGGGGAGCTGACGGAGCAGCAGAAGAAAACAGTTTCCCAAGTCGTGTATGTCCTTAAACAATCCATTCCTCTGCTGCACCGGCTCCACCTGGCAGTGTTCTACATCCAGGGCACGTTCTACCACCTCTCCAAAAGGATCACAGGGATTTCCTATGTAAGTGGTTTTGGTTCAAGATGTGTCCACTGCAGAATTTTGGCTTTTTCTGGAGCGCCATGTGTGTAAAAGGGATAAGGAATTTGGCTGTGGCTGATTATACAGGCAGAGAAGAGGTGTGAGAGGGAAGGTTTTGCTTTATTTGGATGTGATGAGTCCCTGCAGTCAAGAGGTAACAGGTAATAAACATCAATGTGGTGTCACAAGTTCTGTGTAACTTCAGTTAGTCTGCCACAAGCATACTGAAGTAAGAGGTGACTTGAAAAATCCATGGGAAATATTGTTTTGAACAACACTCAGTACCCATTTAGATAACACTTTCCTATATGAAGATAATTTTGTATCTTTACAATAAAACATCAGCCACACTGGGCCAGAAATGTGTATAGACAGAGTTCTCAACAATTCCCAGCATCAGTGCAGGAAAGGTGTTTGTTTCCTCAGGGATACATAAGAAAACCAAACCAATCAAAAGTGCAATTTTTATGGGCAGACAGCAGCTACCAGCCTGACTGAAGGTCATTACACCTCCTGAGAGACAGCTGGCTGAGAAGTTGTAATATGTCAATATTTTGGACAAAATGAGACTCCAAAATCAAGTTTATTGCAGATGGGGAGAGGGAGAACAGTTTCCTAAAACCACAGTAACAAAACATCTCTCTGTATTCTGTAGCTGCATTTTGGAGGACTGCAAGGAGAAGATCAGAGTATCCGATCAAGTTACAAGTTTCTTGGAATAATTTCACTCTTCCACCTTCTGCTGACCATTGGAGTTCAGATGTACAGCTTCAAACAGAAGCAGAGAGCAAGGCAGGAGTGGAGGCTGCACCGCAACCTCGCTCACCAGAAGTAAGAGGTGGTTCTTAATTCCTAGGAAAGAGGTGGGAATGTCACAGCTGTCACAAACAGGGACAACACGGGAGTGACACCCCAGTTTAGGTTACAGTCTGATGTAAACATTTCATTAATTAGCAAAACTAATTCCTCGCTGCCTTGTGTGTGTCATGGACTTTATGCTTTGGTGTTTTTGAGACCTTCATGAAAAGGGTTGATACTCGAGCAGGGGGTTTACTGCAGGATGTTACACAGGATTTCTGCCAAGCAGGGTAAGTGCAATTAACCCCACCGTGCCTGTGTTAATTAGAAGCAGGAGCAAGGAGGCGGCGGCCGGGCGCCAGTCGCGCTGCACGCTGTGCCTGGAGGAGCGGCGGCACAGCACAGCCACCCCCTGCGGGCACCTCTTCTGCTGGGAGTGCATCACTGCCTGGTGCAACACCAGGGTGAGTACACAGCACATCCGCACTGCCAGCTGCCCCAGCCTGCCTGCCAACGCCTGGCTCTCACTGGGCACCCAGAGCTGACCAGCACCTATGGGGCTCTTGAAATACAATGACAATTACATAGGTGAGGTCAGTAAGGTGAGCACGTCACACTGGGTCAGCTCAGGGGAGCTTGCATGACAGTTGGGACTGAAAAATTATTTTCTAAAAGTAGCTAGGCAGTTCTATTCAGATTTTTTTTAAATAGAACTATTCAGTATGTCCATCTACTCCCTTTTCTTCCTGTAGGCTGAATGTCCACTGTGCAGAGAGAAGTTTCATCCTCAGAAACTGATCTACCTACGGCACTACCAAATGTAACGGGAACCTCTTCTGTCTCCTCATACTTGTCCTACAGCTTGGGCTGGTCCAAGAAAAGGACCAACTTTATTAAACTGGAAACTGCCTGTGCAAGGTAGCACTACATTCCTGTGTGACAGAATAAAACTATTTCTGCTTCTACCCTTCTGTCTCTTCTGATGTAGCTCTTGACCATACTAAAAATAGGGTTCTAAAACATGCTTAACTCAGGTTTAAGATATTTCTTAATTCTGGACAATGGAAAGCACGTGCAAACCAACAAAAAGCCATAGATCAATGTGAGCTAGAACTACCTGTCACTTCCCCAGAATTACATACATTTTCCAATTAGTTGTCTGTTGAATCTGCTGAATTCCATTCAGAATCTTCCAAGAGCTAATCTTTTCCTACCTTCTGCAATCGAATGCTCCCTGAAGAGTTGAAAAAGGCATTGCATGAAGGTAAACTGAGGGCAACCATTATTGAAAATGAGTCATAAATAGTGTTAGATCAAGAGATGTATATAAAGATAGAGAACAAGTAAAGGGGAACACTGTCTTTTAATAAATCTTGGAATTAAAAAGTCACTTAATAAAACTGCAGTTGTATCACATGAAAAAGTTTACATGCAGGTCATTTCTCTCTCTTTCCCCCCCCACCCCATAAAAAAAGAAAATCTGTGTTAAAACCCCCATGACTGTCTGTTCTGGCCAGTTTGGGTATGTTCTGTGGGGCTGCATGAAGTCAACTTCAATTATTGAAGAAACCATTACATATGAAAGAAACTCCAACTAATAACAATTAAAATATATATTTTTATAATTCCAGGTCCTCAAAGGAAATTGTGATAAAGTTTGAACAAAGTTCTGAGTCATCAGAAAGAGCCCAATTTTAGCATCTGCTGGGAGATGGAACAGTGAAACTGGCATTAAAACCCAACACAAACGAGTTGCTTTAGAAGCTAAATGAGTATTTTTGCCCTTCTGCAAACCCCATAATTTAGTAATTTCTTATTCCTATCTTTACTTGTTTGGTTATAACTCAGTAATACCATGCATTTAGGAAACTGGCTTAAGTTCTGCATCTAATTTAGGTCTACTGAATTTTTCTATGAAAACAGCACACGGCCATGAAGCAGAAAACAGCATCACGTGTGCCAGCTTACACTTTCCTCCACAGATGTGCACAGCACTTCAGGGTGATGTTGAGCAGGAGAACTATGTAAAAATATCCAACTCTAGGCCATTAACCTCTCCAGTGCAATGGATCTTGAAAGAAATACATTATCCCAAATCCATGGGATTATCCAAAGTTTCTCCAACTTCTTACAAAAGAGAATAAACTCAATGCAATTTGGTTAGAATGCCAGTTTCCTCAAGAATCTGATATTTCAGATAAAAATGAAAATTCAACTGCTTTGTCACCACTCTGTTAATCACTTTTATGAAGAAAAAAGGCATTGTTACAATGGCTCAAAATCGTTCCTTTAGTGAGCAGTAGAATTGGTCAACAGGTTGATTGCTTCTTCCTAGCTAGCAAAGGTCTTCCCCACATCCTCTTTCCCTTTGTATTTCCTCTTGCCATGTGTGAAGGGTATATATCTGTACTTTATCATGTGCTGCAAAGAGAAAACAGCAGTTGTTGAGGCAAGAAAATTATATAATATTTAGGAAAAAATGGTTTATAATACACACTGTAAATTACTGAGTCGTCCAGAAAGAGAGTTCCTAGTAAATGTAATCAAATAGCTACTCCTACAGCAGTTTATATCTGAACAGATATATAAACCTGCTCTCATACTCTCAGATTTTGGGTTACCCAATGAATTGTACATTACAGTGAAGATTACTGATTGGGGAACCACAGGAAACTGGAGAGAGAACAGAGGTACTCATTATTTACTACCCTTACAACTTTAATTTATCACTTTGAATCATAGTACCTTCAAAATTCTGAATGACAGGAAAAAAATGGGTTTTTTTAAAATGCTAACAAACCATAAGTAATTTGTTAAAATGGTCTGAATCACTTGCCTATGTTTTTTCCCTTTCCCCCATCTACTTTCTCACACCTTGTGAGAACTTCCCTTTTCACCCACCAGAGATGGTTCAACACCTCTGCATCCAAAATAGCCACAGGAAGTGGATGAGAACCTGTGTAAAACCCTGACACTGCACTCTAAAGTCAAAACCTTTTGAAACCAATAATAAAGTTTTGTAAAATCTGCTCAACGTTGTAAACATGCCCCACCTGAACAATTAATGCTCAACTATTAGTTTTTCAATTTCCTCCAGTAAAAGTGTGTGTAGCACATTTAACCCCTGAAGGGCTCCACTGGAGGGCCAGTTTGAAGCAATGCTGTAAATCCTGACATCCCAAATTCTCTGTTCTTGCCAAGTTACCTTGATTTGCCTCTTCATAGTGATACAAAATAGCATAATGAAGTACATCACAAGGATTGGCCAAAACACTGGAACGTTGAAAGCCTCAAAGAATGTACAAGCCATAGCAACCAGGATTCCTTTAGTGGCAGAATGCCTGAAAAATAATAGTAACAATTAATCCTTGGAGGCAAGTTACCATTAATGTTATGAAAATATTTGTAGTTTTCAAAAACAGAACACAGGCAGATGGATCCACTCACCAGAATTTGAATTCTGGGAGCCTTCTAATGAAAGGCCGAAATTCTTCATTTTGCCTTGTAGGTAAGGAAGGACCATCATCTAAAAATAACAGAACAGAAACCAAACCACAAACCTCCTCAAAGTAGTTTTTTACACTATTCAGACTCCATTTGGTTTTTTTTTTTACTTTCTATCTTAAAGGAAAAAAAAAAATCACAAAACACAACCACACCAAATTTTCCATTGTCACACGTAGATCCCAGTTAAGAGTTGCTGATTTAATCTAAGTTGACATAGATTACTTAAAATAAACTTAACATAGATTCCTTTAACGAAAATAGGGACTAGGAATGCCAGGCCACTTGAGTTACTATGGGGAGAGCTTAAATCACATAAACTTCCTTTTAAAACACAGAAAACTAGTACAGTATGGAATATATTCAGTCCCATGAAAAAAGACAAATTTCACAGGCAACTCTTGATGTTAAGTTGTAAAGATTTTTTTCTGGTCTAAAAAAATACAACGTAGTGCTAAAATTGCATTATCTTTACACTACAGTATCAGAGAAAAGGAGCTGGAGGTTTGCCCAGGTTTCAAATGATGGTAAAAAGGAACTTTTCCTCATACCTGAATCTTCCATTAGAGAGGGGTCTACCTTTGGCGACAGGAAAGCTATGAAGAGGTTGAGGTGGTAGATTCCCAAGGCATATGTCACAATATACCAACCCTGCAGAAGGAGGAACACACAAGGGTAAAATCTTCCTGAAAATCATTCTCTGCTACTGATTTTTTAACAAGATTAAACAACCCAGGATTTTTGCTCCCTTCAGAAGCTTTTCTATGTCCTCATTATTAACTGAAAGGTTTCTGGGCTTGTAAATATATCAATTCTCAGGGATCAAAACAAGTTTTACAGCATGACAGGGGAGCAAATCTCTCATGTAGCGACAGACTGAACATAAAACCATGGTCTAGCATCCAAATTCTCTATATTCAAGATGTGGCCTTCAAAAGTAGAAAAGTGCATAAAACCATGTCTTTTTAAATCATCTTTGCAGCCCGCAGTGTCTGAAATGTTCTACTACTATGACCTGTAAAGGTTTCACATTCTGTAATCATCAGTTTTTGGGAATAACAGTGCCCAAGTTCTTAACTGAACTGCAGACTGGCATGGAACATCTGAAACAAGCATGGAACAATCAAAAATATCTGATTAGTGGGGAATAGTCTGCCCCTGGCCTGCAGGGAGAGAAATGCTGACAAAGCCATTCCTCATGGTTTTCATGACAGAAAGGAACCCCTGGATCCGATCGTGTTGTTATACAGCTTTAATATAAAAGCAAAAACTTAATTAAAACAGTTTGCAGAGATTTATTTTGTAATTTCAGATTACCATCAGATATTCTGAAGTGTTCACACATTTTTCTCTCTGCATCAGTAACTTCCAAACCCACAGGATGTGTTTGCTCTTCAGACTACACAATTTGCCTTTTGCTACGTGCTGAATGATACCACACCTCATTCTAAAATAACAGCACACTTCAAAAATACTCTTAGAATCAAAATTAGACCAGTAACAATATCTGGAACTACTTCAGCATCAAACCCAGTTGTCTCACCTGCAGTAAATAAACTCTAATCATGTAAATAAAGCTCAGCCCCAGCGTTACAATCCATCGCACTGCAGTGTAAGGGGTGGATTTGTCTAACCAGGACTGGTAGATCTGGAGGAAACAGGAAGTGCACAGTAAATAATAAATACTGTCAAATACTTAATGCACAATGGGTAAAGCTTATTTGAGGATAGTATGGGCAAAAGAAAGCATTTTGGAGGAGTATTTTGGGAAGGATAATAACATTGAACACTTGTATTCTTTATTACAAATGAATTAAGCAGAACTGTACTTAAAAGCTTCTGTGTTTTTACAAAGGAAAAAAATCCCTAATGCTTGGGGATTTTGTAAAGCAATTAAAATTTTCTGTATTTTATGCAAGTTGCTTCCCTTAAGATGAATTTGAAACCAAATTTGAACTCACTCTTCATTTCTGACAGTAACATCATATTTTCACTGTGCAATGTCGCACATATGTCCATTAAATATTCCAATAAGCCATTTATTATAGATATTTATCTATTTTAAAAGGCTTCAAAAGAAATCTTTTTTATAGATTTTAGCATTTCAACAACCCAGCCAACAAGAAGTGAGTTCAAGAAGCTGCAGTAAGATCTACTTCTAAAGGAGTCAGAAAAATCCTTCACAAAACTAACCTGTCCAAGTCTTGAGAAAAATCTATAGACCACAGAAGGTTTTCCATGCACAGACTCCCCAATGCTGTCCCCTTCTGACATGGTGGCTGTGGAAACAAAACATGGGACAAGGGAACATTGGAATCCAAAATGAAAGCTCAGGGAGGTTTAAAGCATATTCTCTGAACCAGCATCTACACACAATATTCTTCTGGTTTTTCCTGTTTGAAACAAATTATTCTGAATATTCTTAAAGAGAGGACACTTAGGCCAAAATGAATGTAAATTCCT